CTGACCGACGTCATCCACTACGGCACGTAGGACGGAGCCACCATCGTCAGCTTGCGATTTATGGCCATGCGGCCAACGTCTGGAGCACATTTCCCTGTTCCCCCATCACCCTGTAGCCCGTGCGTGTTTGTGCATCGAGTTGATAGCCACGTCCCACCACGGCAGCGATGAGCCAAGCCATGCCGGTCTTCCCCTATTCCTTTGTCACCGTGGTCGTTGGACCCATGCTTCTCAATTCGGCCTGGTGGAGCCACCTCGATCCAATTAGCTTGGTCCATTGCTTCGCGGTGTAGTCAGCCAACCACCCGACCCCATCGTGCGGTATTACTCACTGAGCCATGCTCCAATTTGGAGCTTTCCTCTCGTCGGGTCGTTAAGACCGTCGTGACACCCGTCGACGGCAAGGTCCCCACTCTAGTGCTGCTCGTGTTCAATTCGTTGCACCGACAACCTTGCCTCCACCTACTCATCACCCTGCGCACCCTTGCCAAGTTGCTACCACCACCTAGCCACCCCTGATGCAGTCTTGCCACCGCGGCGCACCACCGCACCGTCCATGCGCACGCGGCCAGCTCAGCTCGGGCCACCTCCTGTCGAACCGCCACCTCATCTGGGTCCGTGGTGAGTGCCTGGAGCTCACTCACTGCCCTATTTACCCCGGCGTTGTTGTAACTCACACGAACATCACCGCCGTTTCTTCGCCCAGTGCTTCGCGTTCGCGTCTAGGCAGGTATCGACTCGCTATTGGGGGCGGGGAGGGGCTGGTCTGGCCGGCGTGACCGCCCTGTGCCAGCGCCGCCGAGTGGGTGTGCGCGCGGGTGCCCAAGGGTATCGCCGTTGCGAAGACAGAGTGTTCCGAGGGCTTATCTGCAAAGTAGATGACTGTAGGAATAGTGTCGTAGGTCTCAGGGTAATTCGCTGGTAGGTTAGGGACGTGTTCGTAAAACGGCCGTCGCGTGCGGGCCTTCCCGTCGCGGGGCCATCGTCGCTCGGTGGGGCCGCGCCCCCGCGTGGGCCGTGCCGGTGGAGCACAAGCACGCGCGCGCCGGCTGGAGTGGGCCGAGCCGCTCGCGCGATGGGCTGCGTGGATGGATTCGGTTTTCCTTTTTTCAGAGAAGTAATAAATGTTTATTTAATTTAGTTTTGAGCTGAACTTTGAAAAATTATAGTAAATTCGATAGATGTAGAAAAATAGTGAAACAAAATTTGTTAGGTTCACAAAAATAGTATCTATCTGTTGGTATAGTTAGTTTACAGTTAGCTATGGTAATGATAAACTGATAAATTCACTTTAGAAAGCTTAGTATTATTTAGCTTAATATTTGTAGGAATTTTGTGGTAAATTGGTGATAGCTTTAGCCATAAAATTTTTACAGTAGGCTCATTAGGGTATTATGTGTTTACTGTAATTTTGGTAGCCCTACAGTAGGTTGATAAATGTAGTAGCTAGTACCCCTTATTTTATCATATATAGAGTAAATTAATATTAAGAGTAAGAATACCTTTAGTTGCTAAGATAATATATGTCATGCTTCATATTTGTTAGTGGTAATAGTAGGTAACTTAGCACCTTAGTCGGTAGAACTAGCTTAGTAGCTTGATAGATGCATTTTTATTTTAAGAGTTGTTGTTGCCGTATTACTAAGTGTTGCATTATCATTTCATGCATGTAGATCATGAGTTGGTAGAGTTTATACCTGCGGACGAATAGGACTATGAGGAAATTATTGAGGAGTACGAGGAGGAGGTTCTTGTATAGGAATTAACCCTAGAGTCGTTCGTTGCTAACTTTGTTGACACACCGCCTTTCTAAGGCAAGCCCCGGTGCATAATCCCTATTTTTTAATGATTACCTATATATATATGATGTGCATTTATGTTACAGATATTTTAAGAAAACTACATGCATAGATATACTTACCTATGAATCCTACTAGTATAGGTCGAGTAGCTGCTATGCTTAGGATTTCGGTAGCATGAGTAACTTGCCGTTACTCACAATAGGTGAAAATTATGATCACTCATGATAAAATGGTGGAAAGAAAAATCAAGACCGGGCAGGGATATGGTTTGGGTATTGGTGGGTGTAAGAGGTTGTGTCCTGCGACCAATAGGGTATAGCTTGGTTACACTTTTTCTCTGTCTGTGTCGGTTAAGGACCGACCGTTGCATTGGTCTCTAGGCAAGTCACAGATTTATTATCCCAAGCATATACTTAGGTATGGGTGTAGTAAAGATTTGTTGCTCTCTTGTTGTGAGTTCTGGCTCTTTCTGGACCGACTGATTGGAGGAGGGGATGGTGGAGATCCTTGCACCGTACTAAGTCCGGAACTTAGGAGCGGGACCTTGGAGTTCAAGTTTGGACGGGGACCTAGACCCCGTGACAGGATGGTGATAGGTTGGTTCTGCTTGTGCCTAGGGTACAAGCAGAGCGTGTGTTTTCAGGGTACCCAGCTAGTGGCATTGATTCATGAATTGCTAGGCAATTTGGTATGGCTTGTTTACGGTCCAGCACCGTAGTAAGAGCTGAAAGATAAAAGGTGGTGAAATGGAACTGATTGCTCAACTCTTGCTTGAAAGTAGAACATGTGCTTGTATAGAATGGCTAGATAAAGAATTAATCATGACTGCTAATAATAACCTAAATAAGGCTTCACTATTAACATTGTTTTATGTAAAAAAAACCAGCAAACCATAAAGCTTATTATATTCCTTGGAGTCGGAAAATTATTCCCACCAGTCGGATAAGTCTTGCGAGTACATTGTGTACTCAGGGTTTATTTACCTCTGTTGCAGGTTTAACTTGAGGAGTAACCGTTGTGTGAAGGATTTTTCTGGTGGGCACAGACGAATCCTTGTTCATTATCGATAGATGTTTATTATCATTCAGCTGTTTAATATTCCGCACTCTGAATTTGGTAATGTAATAAAGAATTTCTAAAAACTCCGGGAGTATGAAATGGATTAAGTATTGTAACTCGTTCTCATTATTGGATTCTTGAGGAAAAATATGGACTATTCGGGCTTACCCTTGGGGTGTGCCTGACGAAACCCGCCCGCTGTAGCTTGCTTTCGAGGTGCTTAGTGTCTGTTGGAAGATGAACGTCTCCGTAAGTAAGTTATTTCGAGCAATTCTGCCATAATAGTATCCTTATGATCTGACATTTCTATGAGATGGATACCTTGTCCAAGCTGCATCGCTATAGAATGTGGACGGTGATGATTAGTGTAGCTACTTAGATTTGACTACAAGTGTCTCAAGTCGTCTCTGTTTAGCTTAGCTTATAAGGAAAGGATACTAAATATCTATTTTGTTGAGATGATCAAAAGTATATATATATACTTTTCATCAACAAATAATACCACTCTATGAGTCCATAATCCATCTAGATTAAGTTTGCGAAGACTACAAAGGTAGCAACAAATAAGATAAAGTTTTCAAACAAATCACAATTATGCACTCATATAAGCACCAATCTTTGCGGCATAAGTAGAAATAGCCAAGCACATATTTGCTTCATTAGCATGGTCATGGATACAAGATCTTATCTAGCTTATATATACCATTATTTTGAACGAGCGAAAAACAAAATGTTTCAAAGTTTGACATAGTTTTTCACAAGAAACGACATGCTTTTTGAGATGATCAAACTTTGTTTAGATTGCAAGTTTTTCACTCTCTCTTCATCACATCAAATCTTTGGACACATGCATGGAGTATTAAATGTAGATAAAAAAATAACTAATTACACAATTTGATTGTAAATTACGAAACGAATCTTTTAAGCCTAGTTAGGCCATAATTGGACAATAATTGTCAAATACAAACGAAAATGCTACAATGTCAAATACTGATTCCAAACATCAATCTAAACAAGGCCTTGGGCAACTTTTGTTCTCAGATGACGCGTATCCCACTAATTTGGCTACGTCAGGCTGTCTCCAACTGGAGACCCATTATGGAACCCAAACCTAAAATAGGTCTCCAACATAATACTTATAACCTCCAACAAAGTACTTATATGAAAGACTCATTTTAGGTGCCAGGAGAGGCATAACCCAAATCTGAGAATCCTATCTCTAGAGACCTATTTGCAGAAATAGTTGTTTTATTGATGTTGTTGTTTGGGAAGACTAAAAATAGATATTAAACCCTTTTGCTTGTAGCGCTATTTAAAAGATGAATGAGTCTTATATTTTGGGTCGCGGGTGTTAGAGAGTCTCAGGTAGTGGAGAAAAGGTAACACAATTCCACTAGCCCTATGACGAAAGAGATCAAAGGCTGTGTTTAGTTCACGAAATTTGAGAATTTAGCTGTTATAGTACTTTTGTTTTTATTTGGTAATTAATGTTCAAATATGAACTAATTAGGCTCAAAACGTTCGTCTCATGATTTTCAACCAAACTGTGTAATTAGTTTTTTTCGTCTACATTTAATACTTCATGCACGTATCGTAAGATTCGATTTGATGACTACTGTAGCACCTTCTGAAACTAAACACACGCTGCCTGTAACCTTCGTCGCCGGCGGTGTCCGCGGCCGCTGAAAAAGTCCACGTCCACATCTAGCAAACCATTTCTTGGTCCTCCGATCCGGTTCTTCCCCACCGGCCACCGCGCAGCAGACACCAAGCGCCAGCACGGGCTTCCCCCGCGCCCCGCACCGCACGCCCACCTCGGGCCACGACCCGAGGCCCGGAGACACGACGACCGTACGGCGCCGCACCCGAGAAGACCGCCCCGCGGCCCCTGCCCTTCCCGTTTGCGCGGGAAAACCATTAAAAAACGAGGAGCAAACCGCCCGGCCCGCCAACCCCCGCACCGCCTCCGGCCTCCTTCCCCTGCAAGCTTTCCTCCCTTCCGCGCCCCTCCAAAAACTTCCCCCAACTCCCCCCGCCCGCGCAGTCGCGCACGGCGCACTACTCCAAACCCAAACCCCTCGCGCCGTCACGCTTCCCTCCCTCAGTTCCTCGTGCGTTTGCGCCGTCACGCTTTCCGCGATGCCCCGCACCAGTTCACGCGCCAAGACGGCATCCCCGCCGTCGCCGCCGGAGGCGGCGGCGGCGGCGACCGGTTCCCCGCAGCGCACCCCTGTGCCGTCCCCATCCACCTCCCCCCACGACGACAGCGCCGGATCCCTCGACCTCAAGAAACCCGTCGCCGTGCCTCCCCGACACAGCCTGCGCCTCGCGGGCGCCGCCCTCCGCCTCGGCCTCGGCCCCGCCTCCCCCGATGACGACGACGACGTCGGCGCAGGATCCCCCAACCTCAGCCCCCCCGCCGCCGCGCCTCTCCGACGCAGCCTGCGTCTCGCGGGCGCCGCCGCGGGTAGTCCGAACACTCCCTCCGCGCGAGACGGCAGTTCCTCCGGCTCCGGCTCCGGGTCCGGGTCGGGCGCGGGCGAGAAGAGGGCGGGGAGGTCCCGTGCTCGAGTCTCCGGCTCTTCGCTTGCTACTACCGTCTCGCCAAGGACCGGGAACTCCAGTAGCTATGGCGGTGGGTCGGGGGCGGATAGGGCTTTGGCGAGCGGCGACGGTTCTGGCGGTTCGGATCCGTTCACGACCCTGCGGTCACTGTCTCGGATCAGGAAGCGGCGGATGGAGGCAGGCGGAGAGGTGGGGAGTGGGTCGTCTCGTTGAGGCCAGGTGCATGACGAAATGCTGCACCAGGACGTGGGGACGCCGATGAAGCAGTGCAAGACCATATTGGTTGGTGGAGTGCAGACAGAGTATGTGTCTGATACAGATAGCGATTCTGACGAGGATTGCAAGATGCTGGGTTCAAGTTGGATCAAACCCAGTCCTGTTGCTGTGAACATGGATAGGACTGAAAAGGGGGATGTGGATGATCCTGCCAATGCAAGCAATGGAGAGTCTCTGCAGACGCATAATCTGTTACGGACGGCAAATGGTGGGGTGGTTGAGTTAGCATATCCTTCAGGAAGTCCTTCAAGTTTTGAAGCAAAAGTCTCTGCAGATCTGTATTTCAATGAAGATTCGAGCCATTACAGTTCTAGAAAGGAAGTCAAAGTGAAAGAGAAGCTTGTCTTGGGGAATAACAATTCTCGTGCTGATGCTAATGTGGGCTCTGCAGTCGGTACCAGTTCCAGCAAATTCAATCCTGATAGCAAAGGAAAGGGAAAGATGGTTGTAGAAGATAGTCTATCATCTCTGAGCTCAAGTGAGGACGAGCCAGATTTCGATCCTGTTGATTCCAAAGAGACTCAGCTCAACTCAGGATCAGTTTCTGCTTCTATGGAGTCACTTCGCAGACAATCAGCAAAAGAGAGGGCTATCAGGCTGGCCCCTAAATTTGCATTCTTCAAAGCAGATAAAGATGAGCATAGTGAAGATGATGAAGAAGAAGAGCTACAGGCTGACCCTGACGCTCAGGACTGGCCAGGCCCATTTGCAACTGCTGCAAGGATATATGAAGAAAGAGAAGCTAAGTTGAGAGCTCGAGAGTTGAATTCTTCAAAGGTGGGCAAATCTGCAAATAGGGTCATTGTTTGGTCGCCTTCAAAGGATAGGAAAAATCCAGCACGAGCTCAAGCCCCGTCACTTACAAGCTTATGCTTAAACACCCTTGCGGAACATTCTGAATGTATTGAATCTCTTGGAGGTATCCCAGAGGAGCTAAAGAATAAGCTGTTAAAGATTCTGTGTCATTCCAGGAAGATGAAGACTCATCTTCTCCATGAACTACTGTGTGACAGTCCTACAGAACTGCATCTCAGTGAGTGTTCATGGCTGAGTGAGGATGACTTTGAGAAAACTTTTGAGAAATGCAGCACTGAAAGCTTGCAGGTACTATTTGTTTACTCTGCAGTTTCTGTGCTATGTACACATTATTTATTCCTTTCAATATGACCTTATTTCTTTTGGGTAAATTAACTTGTGAGAACTCATTCAGTGTTTGTCTTAATGTAGGATCTACAGCTTGATATATCTGGGAGATGCATGCCTGATTACATATTGCCATCTACCTTAGCTAAGGTTCCTAACTGCATGCCATTGTTGAGAAAAATATCTCTGAAGGGAAATTATCGGCTTTCTGATAATGGTTTAGGCACAATCATCTCTGCTGCACCTTCTTTATCCTCCCTAAATCTGTGCGAGTGTTCTCTTCTCACTTCATCTGGAATTGATATTCTTGCAAACAAGTTACATTCAGTTCTTAGAGAACTGTATATAGATGAATGCACAAACGTGGATGCTATGGCGATTCTTCCTGCTCTACAGAAGATTAATCATCTAGAGGTTTTATCAATGTCTGGAATACAGTCCGTGTGTGACAAGTTTGTGAAGGAGCTCATTGTTGTTCATGGTTCAAATCTGAAGGAGTTAGCATTTGCTGGTTGCTTGTAAGTATTTACAAATTCCTACTTCAGGCAATAGTTTTCTTTTGGAATTATCAGTACCATAGTTATATTACTATTATGCAAGTATAGAGAAGCAACATGGAGCTGCATATCTGACTTTTTATCTAAATGTAGGGAACTTACCTCATTTTCCATCAAGACTATTGGGGAATACTGTCAAGAATTAACTTCGTTGGACCTCCGCAACTTGGATAGGCTGCGTGACTCAGCAATGAGGCATCTTCGCGGCTGTAGGCTAATAAGGAAACTAAAGCTTCAAAGAAATGCATTCAGGTATCGCCCCACTTCCCCTGTTATTTTGGTTGATCCAAGTTTGAAGTGCCTCATTACTAAGCAGAATTAAGCGCTGTGCAAACATTCATGTCCTTTACGTCAAATTCTTTTAATGTGTATCATTGCATATTATTGTTTTCCAAACTCAGATGCATAATGATTATTATGCATGTCTTATTTAGCTTCTTTCTAGCATTCTAACCATTTTATCTATGCTAACTCATTTGCCCTTTCTTTATGTTTGTGCATTGTAGAAGTGCAGATATTTTTTTTTCTGACTGATCGTAATGAGGGTCTGAGAGTAATATATCATGACCCACTTAATCACTTGTAGCACCAGTTCTGCCATCTGTATAATTAAATTACTGCTGTTTTAAAGTTGATGAATTACTTAGACCTGATAGATTACAAAGGAAAAGGAAAGGCAAACCACTACTGTAATTTAGTGACTCTTGGTTGGTTTCCAAGCTCCTGAAGGTGTCCTGGAAGTTGACATCAGCAAGTTTTAACAGTTTGTGTCTTCCATTTTATCAAAAAGCATCACCCATTAATTCATTTGATGGTACTGTTATTTTTTCTTGATCAGAATATGCTCTGTCGTGTAATGAGATCGCTGCAAATTCTTCCTGATGTTATAATCAGTTAACTTGATCCATTATTACAGTGATGAAGCTGTGTCTCAATATTTGGAAAAATCTGGAGGATGCCTGACTGAGTTAATGCTAAACAATGTTAAGAAGGTAATTTGTCCATTCTTTCCCTTCTTGAATATGTGGCAATCCCTGAATGATATAAATCTTATCCTTGGGACCGACCTTATATTTTTGTTTAGATGTGGACCCTTTAGTCTATTTCATTCTTTTTGAGCAAGAGACCATGCAAAAGGTTCAATACCACATAGAGAAAAAGCTATTTATGGATTCATTTTGAGGCGGTTTAGTTTGAACTTAGGTTGCACTAATAATGTGGAACACACACAACATGATGTGAACATAGATGCAAATTACTATATGAAGACCTGTTACTGATAAAAAAGGGGTAAGTAAACCTTAGGACGGCGTTACATGCAACAAATGTCTGTTGGCTAGTCAGAAGCATTATAATGTGCGGGGGTTAGAGAACCGGTAACAGGGATCACACTGTGCTTGAATATTGAATGGGGAGAGGTACATTTCATTTATGCACTCAGTCTATTTATTCAAGCTGGAACTTAATGAGTGCATATTTGAACATTTCTGGTTTGGTGTAAGCATATAACATGATTTTTGAGAGACATGATTGGTTGGGCGCAATGGAGAGTATGAACAAACTGCAAATCTACATTTGGGCATGGGCATGGGCATGGGCATGGGCATGGGCATGTTTGAGTTTGTTCAGGCTGCATCAAACTTGCATCACTATTTATGTGGTGGCAGTGAGAATTAAGAACCAATCTGATGTATCTTCAGTTATCTGAAATTGGTTCTAAGATGACTGAAAATTTTATATTCAAATCAGGGACCTGTTATTTTGATCACTTGGCTAAAATATCTTTGTTGCACAAAAGTTCTGTCTAGGCCCTGTTTGGATCCATGGTGCTAATGGCTAGCAACTAAAAAAATAGCAAGTGTGTCTCCAAACACCCGACCTACTAATATGTGTTGTAACCATTAGTATATTTTGTGGCAAGTTGAAGGTTGCTACTAGGTGCTAATGGTTAGCAATGCTAAGTTTAGTAGATCCAAACAGGCCATAATGTTTTGTTGTTGAAGTGTATAACAACTTAAACTGTTATTTACTATTTTTTTGCTTGTTTCTTCTCAATCTGACTGGGAAATTTTATTAAGTTGGTTAACATGTGCTATTTCCTTGACCATTTTTTGTGATGTCTTTCATCTGTTTCACTTATGAATAATGCTCAGCAAATAATTAGTTCTCATCTTATGTATTTCATTTAGGTTGGAGACCTTACTGCCCTCGCAATTTCTCGCAAGTGTTCTGTTCTATTGGAGGCCCTGGATCTTTCCTTCTGCCGTGAACTGACAGACGAAGCTTTGGGGCTGATTGTGGATGGCTGCCCATCATTGAGAATTCTTAAACTATTTGGTTGTACCCAGGTATGATGACCTTCCTAGCAAGCAGAGCAATACTGCCTCAACAGTAAACATAAATAAATATACTTCCTGTAACATGTTCTTTCTGTCAGCAGTTCCAATCATGTTCTTTCTATCAACAGTAAACATACATTAGGAACACCTGTTGATTGGTAGTATCATCTGAGGAAAGAGCATCAGTTGTTTGAGGGCTTTGAAAACCGTACTTACTGCAGACCATTTCATTGCAGGTCACGGATTTGTTCCTCAAGGGTCACTCAAACACATCGGTCAAAATCGTCGGAATAGAAGGGAGCATACTCGTGCAAATGGATAACCGTTAGTTTGTGTGCAGAACGACACTACATTCTCATTACCATTCAGTTACCTAGCTTAGGATTCGAGGCATCAAGTTCCACAATGTGGCTGCAGCATCAAGTCGGGAATATTTTGTCAACCAATGAACCTACCTTTCTTATACCAGTTAGCCGTGTAGAGAACTTTCTTGAAATGCTTTCTTTTTCTCGATTAATATTTTTTTGAAAGGTTTCTCGGTTATCTTAAAGCAGTGGAAAATCTGCTGCTGCATCATGCAAACTATTGATAGAATATTTTTATTTGTCATCAGATGGTCAAGATTGGATATTCAGATTATTATTGTTTCAGAAGCATATGCGTTAGCTTAGGCCTCGTTTAGATTTCAAAAAACTCATCACATCGAATTCACATCGAATCTTGCGGCACATGTATGGAGTACTAAATGTAGAAAAAAAAATTAATTGCATAATTGAGTGAGAAATTATAAGACGAAACTTTCAAACCTCAAAACCCAAAAATTTTTGAATCTAAACACGCCCTTACTTTGAGCCGAGCTTATAAACTCATATCTCGAATGAACGGATCCCTTTTGCTATGGATATCCGTAAGCGCGGAGATGGCAAGGCAGACTAGATATGCTTATACGATGCATCATGCATGTCCAGCACTCATCCTCTACGCCACCGTCCTGATTTGTGTAGGCTTTGGCTTATTCGGAGGAGCCCTGCCAAACCTTCTGTAATACCCATTTTTCAGGTCATTAACACATGAGATAAAGATATATAGATATAGATCATAGAGATAGAGATAGAAAAGCGAATGAAGTATATTTTTTCAGCTGCTGGCCTGCATTAAACAAATTTTAAAAAAATATTATTACTATTCTACTAGGAGAACAATATTCATGATTAGACCTTCGGTTCTATCTTTAGTCTCGGCAAGAGTTGAACCCGGGACTAAAGGAAGCATTAGTCTCGGTTTGAGCCACCAACCAGGACTAAAGTCCCCGGCCCAACGGCCGTAGGCTTTTACATGAGACTTTAGTCCCGGTTGGAGCCACCAACCGGGACTAAAGGTGGGACTAAAGGTCACACTTTACTCTCGGTTGGTGACTACCACCGGGACTAAAGGTTGCTCTTTAGTCCTGGTGGTAGGCACTAACTATGAGTAAAGGGCCACGCTATAAATCTAGCTTTCTTCCTCCATAAGCTCGAGCCATTTCAAGCTCTCTGGTTTTGCTCTCCGGCTCTATTCTTGCTTGTGGAGGAGTTTGAAACGTCCTTATTTCCGCGAAGGGAAATCCACATAGTCGAAGTGTATTATGACCGTTGTAGATCATATTACCCAAATTCCAGTCGAATACCACATCCATACAACGATAATATCAGAGTACAAATAGTACGGAATTACATAAATTATTACATCGTCGCATTGGCGGAATCAAAAGTAACATTCATTCAGAACAGCTTGAAGATAAGATCGCCAAACTCGAGCGTAGAAATGAACCCCTCAACCGTCAAACTCCTCAGAGCTATACTCCTCAGCAGAACCTGTGCGCCAAAATTTATCAGTACGATTTGTACTGGCCACTCCCACCCTATGAGCATTGCTGTGAAAATTGGATGCAAGTTGGATATATTCAAAAGGAACCTATAAATTTGGGGTTTCCTATGTTTTAGCATATCAAGTATATATATATATAATATTTGGTCAAGTTTTTAACACCATTCCCACACCCATTCCATCCCATTTCCGTCCAGAGCGAGTTTTGATCCACAGGATTGATTTACCACCATCTCCATATCATCACACACCATCGCTCGATTCGATGAGGCCAACTCCTCTCGGCATTTGTCTCATGGACCATAGCCCCTGGCTACGACCGACACTCTCTCACGGGGGAAGAAGAGAAGGACTCATCTCGCTATCTAGTTTAAGCGAAACCCAGGAAAGGTCCATAGCCGATAAGTCGGCATATGAATCGATCGATCAACAATACACTCTGCAGAGGTTTTACATAACCACAAGATCCGCCTTCCTCGTGACCGTCATCAATCAATCGGGCTGATTTCGGCCGCTTGCTAGCCTAGGATAATGCCACTCTACCATTCATACCTGGTACACCCCAAGTCTAGTCTGGGGTGGCTGAAACCATGAGTCATGAGCCAGGTCCTCAAGGTCTCCATGAAGTCTCGGAAAGGGTGTGGGGGAATCCTCCGCCCGCACCTCCTCAGACTTGTCCGCTATCAACCTAGCGATGAGTGGCAATATCCTAACAAGTAGTCCCCGCCCGTCCCGCACCATATAGAAAGAGTGGTACGTAAGGCTTCCCGGTGAATCTGAGTACTAGTAAGTCCTTAGGGATGACCAAGCAGAATGTCTTCATCGGGGTTTCCATTTACCGTGCCACCACAAAGACACCTCCACCCCTGCCTCCCATCATAGGTTCACACCTAGGGCCACCTCATATACCATTTACCCACCACAGGTATCCATTTCCAGGGGTGCCCAGGTAGCACCCCACGGCAAGACTTGCCCCAGGCTCGTCGTATATTCCAACTTGGTCAACACAACCCTCACCCTCCATGCACCCAAGTCACACACGCAACACTCTCTCCATAGTCCAGATAACACCAGTTTCCACCACGCATCAATGTAGTACAAGCGTAGTAGAAGTATTAAGCAATGAAATATAGTAGCAAGCGTGTGTCTAGCCTAATAGCAGGGTAAGCAGGGGTAAGGTTGCATCAAGGTATAGGCCATCAAGTAAGCATACTACCATGCAAGTCCTATCTTAGTGTGAATATAACAATAAAGTAAAGCAATAGCAGTTCTATATTAGCCATGCGTAATAGGTGCTACGAGGTTGGGTGGGATGTGGCACGGTAAATGGAAACCCTGATGAAGACATTCTGGCTTGGTCATCCCTAAGGACTTACTAGTACTTAGATTCACCGGGAAGCCTTACGTACCACTCGCCCTATATGGTGCGGGATGGCCAGACTACTTGGTAGGATATTGCCACTACTGCTAGGTTGATAGCGGAGAAAGTGCGAGGAGGAGGCACGGGCGCGGAGGATTCCCCCACACCCTTTCGAGACTTCATGGAGACCTTGAGGACCCGGCTCATGACTCACAGGCCAGATTCACCACCCCTGACTAGACTTGGGGTGTACCAGGTTGAATGGTAGAGTGTCATTCCTAGGCTAGCAAGGGGCGGAATCAGCCCATTTGATTGACTACGGTCACGAGGAAGGCGGATCTTGTGGTTATGTAAAACCTCTACAGAGTGTATGGTTGATCGATCGATACATATGCCGACTTATCGGCTATGGACCTTTCCTGGGTTTCGCTTAAACTAGATAGCGAGATGAGTCATTCTCTTCTTCCCCCATGAGAGAGTGTCTGTCGTAGCCAGGGGCTACAGGCCATGAGACAGTGCCGAGAGGGAGTTGGCCTCTCAACTGAGCGATGGTGTGGTGATGATATGGAGATGGTGGTATATCAATCCCTAGGATCGAAACCTGGCTCTAGACGGAAATGGGATAGAATGTGTGTGGGAATGGTGTTAAAACTTGACCAACTATTATTATATATATACTTGATATGCTAAAACATAGGAAACCCTAGCCTTATAGGTTCCTTTTAAATATATCCAACTTGCATCCAATTTCCACAAAGCAATGCTCATAGGGTGGGAGTGGCCAAGATAAATCGATCGATAAATTTTGGCACACATGTGTTCTGCCGAGGAGTATAGCTCGAGGAGTTTGACGGTTGAGGGGTTCGCTCTATGCTTGAGTTTGGTGATCTTATCTTCAAGTCGCTCAATGAATGCTACTTTTGATTCCGCCAATGCGGTGATGTAATAATTTATGTAATTCCGCACTATTTGTACTATGATATTATCGTTGTATGGATGTGGTATTCGACTGGAATTTGGGTAATATGATCTACAACGGTCATAATACACTTCGACTCTATGGATTTCCCTTCGTGGAAATTAGGTCGTTTCAGTTGGTATCAGAGCCATACTTGACCCTAAGACGAAACCCTCAGAAATGGACGATAGAATAGGACGTGAACAACCCTTCTTTCGGTTATATACCGACCTTGCATTTACTTTCATGCAAGGCTTATCTATTCATTGACCTACTAACACCTGTTTCCTTAGAACATGCAGATGGCAACGAACGTCAAATGGCCGCCTCTAGGACCGCTACCTCTGGACCACGCCAAGCTTACCTTCGACCTACGTGAGCTCAGGGGTTTTGCACGGACCCTTTGCTGAATTCTCGTCATGTTAGGAGTCCCTGACGAGCTTGTCAAGGTCACCTGCACCGGGAAGTTAGCTCAGGAAGGAGGAATCGAAGGACCGATTGTCACCTCAGTTGAGTTCCCAGCTAGCACTACCTTATCTTCTGTCCCAGCTTTCATCGAGTTGACTATAGAGGACACAGTTGAGGAGGGACTACGAGCTATCTCACATAAGACACTTCGTGGAGTGATGAGGGACCACTACGAGCACCTGAAGATGACAGAGTTCCGTCTACTTCCCCAGCCCCTTGACCTCAGCCTTACCCCTAGTGAGCAGAGTTTCGTAGCTGACAGAGTTATCTTTGCCGAGGAGGACAGATGCCTTCGTGTCTCGGCTATCCACCTACAAGAGCAGGACAGGTACGTGACCCAGCTTGAGCAGAGGAGACGATAGGACCAGGCCCTTCTATGGGAGTACTAGGAGCAAGACTCGCAGGGAGCATAGGAGCAAGCCAGTCTGCTTGAGACAGTTGCCAAGCTACAGGATGAGCTCAACCATCATGAAGAAGCCCACAGAGCCGAGGTCACTGACTTACATGACAAAGCCGCCGACCTAGGCAATAGGACTGCTACCTCGACAGCAAGGTCTTGGAGTTGCAGAGAGAGTTGGACGACAAGAAGGCCGAGTTCAACCGCAGAGGAGACAGAGAGAGGTCCAAGGGGATTGATATGCTGAAAATCCGATCTCAGAACAAGACCATGACTCAGG